CAAGTGACGATAGCAATCGGTGGATTCAACCAGACAAGGTATAGTGGTCAGTCAGTGCACCAGGATTTTCGCTGATGAGAAAATCTAACCTGAAGGGAGTCGAACGATGATATGCAGGGTGTCCTCTGGAGGAGTGCCTTCGAAGACATCCTCCAGTTTGGTTGTTGTCTCGAGCTCGGGTGGAAGCTGCGGCTTGCTCATTTCTTCTTGCGCTTTGGCGATTTACGTCCCCCAAACATTCTAGTGACGAAAGACTGTCAAAAGGTGATGTTAATTGACTTCGATTGGAGTGGAAAGCTAGGTGTGGCGAGGTATCCAGCTGGAGGTGTTAACCCTGAGTACGCATGGCCAGATGGCGTTGAGGCTAACGGTCGAATTGAAAGAGAACATGATTTGGGATGGTTTAAAACTCTTAATTCATGATCATGTTTATAAGTAATAATAATTAGCTCTGTTCACAATAGACTCTGTCAAAGTTAAGCCTTTACTAAAGAAATCAGAGCTAGTCATACGATGGTAAATGGGTCCTAGTGAATACGATATAGATAAAGGACTATGGACTACAGTGTTTACTAATGCAATCCTAGGACAGACAAATAATGATAGGTAGTATTGTGTCAGGGTGCATAATCCTAATGTCAAATAGACAAAGTAACCTCATTCCCTCGAGATATAGCCTAAATCTGCTTGAGCTTGCCATTGAACCTGAATGATACTGGGGCGAGCTCTTTGTAGGTCTCAATGAAACTACCTGGGTGTCCAGAGGAGATCGACTTTCTCTCTAACTCCAAGACTGATCTGCATCGTAGCTCGATCGAGGGCACCTTGGGCTCTTTGTTTGGCAGCAGCCTCGCTCTCCCCTGGGAGACGAGCAACCTGGCATCGATGGCTAGAGAACAACACCGCAAGCATCACAGCCATCTCTACCTCTGCAAATCGCCTGCCTAGGATTGCATTAGTAAACACTGTAGTCCATAGTCCTTTATCTATATCGTATTCACTAGGA